CAACAAAAGCATTACGGTTGCCGTTACCTCCAAAACTGTCACACATTTTGTGTGAAAATTGGTCCTACCTCTAGTCTTCCGGAACCATACAAGAATTACTAATTATACCTCTATCGAAACAGGGACATAGCCACCTTCCTGGTTCTAAAAATAAGTATATAGCTGTAGATCAAAGGTAATAATTCTATTAATCCTGATTACTCAGCTATTATAACTTTCCTCAATATATATTAATTTTAAATTCTTAATTAAAATCTATTAATCAAATTATAATTCAAAATCTTTTACATAGAATTATAGAAACAACAATAAGTATTATCTATCTTCTATTTTTATACTATTTAATTTATTGGTTGTTGAGTTGTTTCAATTTCTTTGTCAAAACATGTTTTTCACTTTTTCTCAAGAAGGCTTTTGTTGCCATGCAAACTAAAAGTGATTATTACTCAAAACACCTAAAAAGCAATTGTACTCTTTTTCCGATAACAATACCCAAATATCTATTATTAAAATAGTATTCAATTGTGAGTACTTCACTAGGCTCTTTATTAATATCTAATAAGCTCTTTAAGCTAGCCCTTCTCTTAGAAGAAAAGTCTACTTATCCCATTTTTTTAGCTTAATACACAGCTAGCGAAAATTTAGCTTGATTCCAGAAGAGAAGAGCTGGGACCGGATTTCTTATCAAAAGCATTATAGTTGTATCTGTAACTGTCACGCTTTTTATAAGAAAAGTGGTCCCAGCACTTGTCTTCCAAAACTATAGCTTAAAAATTTGGTAACTAAAATTTCCTGAATGGAAATAAATATAACAATAAACACCTGAACGTAATTACATTGAACCTTGTGCCTCGAAAAGTTATTGTTCCTACACACAACCCTAGACCCAGGTAAAATAGAGGCATCACAGGACGTAACGGCCTTGGTACTGTACACATTTGGAACACTTTGCACGATACTTGATAATTATCTTCTTAGAATCCGGGACACATTTATCATCAAGTCTTAGCATGTTGCTCATGTGACTGCACTTTTGTGAAAAACCCGTTTTATATACTCGAGTAATAGATATAGATTGGCTAACTAGCCGTGAGCCCATCGCCAACCAAACCTAGCTAGCTATTGGCAAGGGAGAAAACCCAGCGCCCAGCAGACAAAAGAAGAACTGAGACGGAATATGATGGAAAATATATCTTAACACGCTGCGCAATCCAACTTGAGATGACCGACCAACCCAGGCAATAACCCCATGCCGCAAACCAAAGAAATGAAACTAAAGAAAGGAAATTGTATGAAAATACCCACGCGCAAGCAAGCCAACGTCAAGGCCGTGAGTCCATCAATCACACCAAACCCAACCATCTAAAAGCTTTACTCCCTCCCCTCCCCCTCACCGTCATAGTACTCCTCTCATCGTCTACTTCACTCTCTCCCTCCTCTTCCTCCTCTTCCTCGCCCTCCTCCCCCTCCTGCCCTTCTCCCTCATCACCATATTCCTCATCTTCCTCATCATCAAAATAACTACTACCCCGCCTATCCTCCCACTTCCTACGTCTATCCTCACCCCTCCAGCCCCTCTCCTCATCCCCCTTGTCTCCAAAGAACCCCGTGACTCTTTCCCTCTCGACAACACCAGATACTAGCACCCCGACCGCAGCCACAAATCCCGGCCCGGCGGGCACGCTCCCTAGTGGCGGTAGCAGCACGTCGGCGAGAGAAATCAGCCGCTGCTTCGGAACCCAATTCCTGTCTTTCCTCCGGCGCATAGATCTGCGAATACGCAGCGCATCGGCGGGTATGTTCGGGCTGGTAGGGGTCCATCCACTGAGGGTATAACTCGTCGTTGTTTGCCCATACGAGGTTCGTATCCGGATTTGATTTGTAGAGGAGGTGGCAGTAGGAGAGATGGCAGCATTACCACCGGCAGGCCGGAGTGAGGCGTTCGGGAATTTCCGCACAGGGGGTTTAGCGCTGATCTGGATTGCGCCGTCGGCGATACATGCGATTCTGAGCACCGCCGGAGAAGTATCTGATGTTTCGGGGGTGTACGTAGGACAGTGGAGGTGTCGACGGAGCTCCAAGATTGCTTGAGAGCCCATGTGCAGGTCAAAGTCTATTATCAACGCTCTTACATCCGCGTTTTGGGAAATATACTTTTCAATCATGGGGAGTAGGAAGCCGCCCTTCACGATTGACCTTTCAAGATTTGCAGCTTCCGGGTGCTGGCGTAAAACAAAGGCATGGGATGTGCATAGGAGATACTTCAACGACACGCGGGAGACGCGGTTATTGCTAAAGCCCGATGCATCCTTCCGCTTCGAGACTTCCTTTTCTGTACGGGAGATTAGCTGGTGGCGGAGTTCCTCGCCTTTTTGCGCCGCCAGGTCAATTTCTGCGCCGGAGGAGAGGGTAGTTTCCGAACCGATTGCCATGAGCAAGTCTATCGCCGAGCAGGGTGTGTCCTCTTGGGAACCGGAGGCGGGTGAGGAGTACGGACTCAATACCGGCGCCCACAGCGCCGAGATTTCGTCGTCTTCTCGCAGCCAGCGGGTTTCTTCGTCGTCGTCGTCTGCAGCCGGGACCGGGGACGCCGGTATGGGAAAATGCTGGCGCAGTATGCCTCGCAGCTCATTTTGTAAATCTAGCGGGGAACTTTGCGAAGTTAACCTGACCGTTGGGAAGTGTGAGCCTTGTCGCTCACCCCCGTCCGCCGTATTCCCGCCGCGACTGGACGTAGTGCCCAATGACCAGCGGGTAGTCTCCGTGGAGGCTATAGACTCGTATGACCGGTAGGACTCGTGCTTTGTAGAAATGTGTTGAGGCCGGAATTCAGCCGGGAGAAAGCGACGCTCTGGCTCTTCTCGTGAGCAGGTTCCCGGGGTACGGATTGTGAAGGATGCTGACAGGTCGCCGAGGACCCGTTCTAAAAGCTCGTTGGAACCCTTCTCTATCTCGTCTGAGAGGTAGATTATCAAGTTGTCGTCCGCGGATGGAAACAATGGATCCACGGGCTCCCCGGCAAGGCGTCCAATCACACTGGGCGGGGAGCCGGTAAAGTTTCTGCCGAGACGCAGAGGCGAAGGCATGATTGTTGCACCGCTGGCATCCTCTGTGGAGCTAGGTGTTGGCGAAGCGGTCCTGGTGGAAGGTACCGAATCACGGGCGCCAATATGACCAAACGAATCACCGATCGAGCGGTGGTGGTAAGTCGAGGGTTGGTCGGAACTCGGAGTTTCGGGCAACACCCCGGCGCTGGAAGGAGGGGTAATTATGTCCATCGGGGAATAGACTGTGTCCATCAGTGGAAGAACAGGGTCGTCTGGCTTCATTGTAGAAATCTTTAAGGAACTAGTATCCTTTCTCCTCAGTGTTTTCCCCGTAACGGACCGTCTATTCCTCCCGCAGTATGGGGGGATACTCTGCGATCTCCTCCTCTCCCTCAATCGATCCTCGTTGCTCCCCCGTCTCGACTCAGACCTCATCACGGGCGGTGAAGGCGGAGGGGAATACCTGGGCGGGGCAACAGTGTTGGTGGTATTACTCCGACTCCTGACATGCACAGCGACAGCCTTCCCAATCTCGATCCCAGCCTCAATCTCCTCCGGCGTTGGTGACCGCGGCGCAGTGGTGGAGACCGTAGCAATAGTAGCAAGACTAAGGTGCGAGCTCTTAGACATCACAGGATCCATCTTTTCTGCAGCCGACGCCCAAGCCGTGGACTGCGACCCGCTCATGGGGGATCCCGGGAATTTATCCACTGGAGTCACGGGTCTCGGGATAGCCGCTTCCTCCTCCGGAATCTCCTCCCTGGACCTGGTGGCAGCACTCTCGGAACGCATCCTCCGGTGCACCTTATCGGATATGGACTCCCGACAAGAGTTCTTCTTGAGTCCGTCCGCTTTGCTCCCGTCCAAGGGATTGCACTGCAGGGCTTGAACACCTCCATGCATTATATCCTGAAACATCCATTCCGCCTCCCTAGTCGCATTCTCCCCCATTTCCATCTCGTCCCCCTCCCATGCTAAAAAATGTTTCAACGCCTCCAGACATGCAACCTGTGCGGCGGCGAAGCCTCCGTTCATGAAGACCATCCGTCCAGTACCCTTACTCCGCTCCGACAGGAATCTCTTTGCTTTCTGCACTCTGGAAACGTGGGCATCGTGCAGTGACAGTATATATTTCCGCACAACAGAGTCGAGAACGGGGAATTGATTTTGTGATGACGGTGATGAGGATGGGGATGCAGATTTTCTCGGCGGTGGGGGAGGGGGTAAGTCGAGTGGTGGGAGGCAGAGGATGTTTTGCGAGAATGGTAACAACTGCAGTTGCTCGGTGATGGTAGGCTGGTGACCCTCCAAGGTCACAATAAAGCCCTCGTCACGGTCCATGACCATAGCTCTCGATTGCTGTTTTCTGATCTATGGCGGGATTGATTTTGAGCGAACAGGCAAGCAAACAGAAAATTTCTCCCGGGAGTAGTGAGAAAAGAACAAGTTTGGATTGTCAGGCGGTGATGTCGACGTTATGTATGCACGCAAGCCAAGGATAACACTCAGCTGAGGGCAATTACCATCTCAGCAAATTCCAGATTCACTCCTCACACCGGCAAAAGAGGCGGGGGCCAAGGCACTACCGCACGCAAGGGGAGCAGAAAGGCAATAATAGTACGAGTACTCGTAGTCGCAGGTGGCAACAAGGAAAAAAGAAAGCAAAAAAAAGAGCACCCCCCAGGAAAAGGCAAGGAGCTGGGCGGTAAACTAAGATGGCTCTCTGCGAGCGCTCGAGCGAGCACCGCACCACAAACCAGCAGGACGAGGCTCTAGGTTAGTTGGATTCTTTTTTCTTTTTTTTTTTCTTTTTCTCCTATCCTCGTGTTTCTCTTCTCTTCCTTTTCCTCTCCCACTCTCTCCGGTACTCGAACTGTAGTACACACAATCAGAAGCTGACGCGATGGGTGAAGGGATGGCCTCTAAGGGTGGTGGGGGTGGTGATGGTGATGACGGTGATGTTTGTGTCGACGGATGAGGAGTACTCGAGTAGACGGAAAGACTACGGGGATACCGTAGATGGAGAGTAGATGGGGAAAGCCTCGCACAGGTTGTAGCACAAGTACTAGTACTGTACCCGAGCGCAAATGTACGAGTACTGTTCAGTACTCGTGGGAAAAAGTGGGCGAAGTGGATGAAACACCGGGGTGGAGAGGAGCGGTAAGATTGCTCGTTCGGCGGAGAGGGGATTCGCTCCAGGAGCGGTGGTGTGAATGTGGTTCGCACTGACTGGATCGAGTCAGGGAAGACGGCCACCGAGGGGAGCGGGAGAGAGTGAACAAAAGATGGAAAGCAGCGTACCACGAGTGAGGGCGAGGATATCATGAGTCCGGAGTCCGGATGCCCAGGGGACCGGTAGTTGGACTCCCCTTTGCTGCGAAAAAGACCATCACAGCAGGCCTCTCCCACTCTCCATGGTCCACGGTAGTGGAAGGGCCCAGCAGCTGCAAGGTATGGAGCACCGGCACAGCGCATTTGCACATGGCAGGGAAGTCCGATACGAAAGACCTCGCATCAATCAATCAAAAGCCTTCCAGGTTACCGTACGAGCAAAGCACGGGAAATCATAAGATCTTCCCTCCCCGTTGATCATGGAGTTACATGTGCAAGTAACTTCCGGCATGCACTGATCCCGGCCAAGCTTTCATCCTCATCACCTAAATTATCATACCTCTGGCGTACTGTGCTCGAGTACCGGTAGGGTAGGGTACCGGGCTCGAGGGACGAGGTGAGGCATCACCAAGTGGGACGATGGTACGGGCTCTACAGAGCTGTGCATACAGTGTACTGGGTATCATATCATACTCGTGAGATGCACGCACTGCGCTGGAGTACAGCACTCGTACCGGTACGAGTACTTGCACCATACGGGTACAGGGATGTTGCCTGAGTCAAGCATATCGCAAAAACAAAGAAACCTCCCAACCCCTGCACCGCCAACCACCGGCAAGCACACGGACTCTCACGAAAGGCGCGTCCACACGTGGCATTAAGCGAAACCTTCCCCCATCAAGCACACAGGAACACTCTCCACTATCTAAATAATAATACCGTGCTCGAGTAATAAAAGAGGAACCCCTTGCAGGAACCCGCGCGCCCCCCCCCCCAAAAAAAAAAACTCGAGCCAGCAAGACTACAGCAAATAATGCAGCCGCGATACGATGATGATGGTGCTGATGATGATAATGATGATGACGATGATGACGGTGATAATACCACAGCAATAATGCCGTACCTTGGCACTAACAATTACCGGAATACCTGTACGAGTGCCAGTACAGTATTATACGAGTACAGTACGGCACTCGCTGTAGACTTAAGAGTGAAACACCCCTCCTACCGCCGCGATGGATGAGACAGGCCGAGGTCGCCGCCCAATCAGAGACCTAGGGCCCTCCCCTGGGTGCCCGACTGTTGATATATTTATGGACTGCAAAGCTCTGGCCCGCCATGTTTTCTATACGACTGCCGTTCGGCCAGATGGAGATGGCGGGGGTGAGAGCTATTACACCCTATCTCTCGAGCGAAGCGCATCCCAGGCGCATGTGCGAGTACGAGTACTGTACAATGGAAGCCGCACTCGGTCCCAATCACGCCGGGCATTTCGAACACCGATAATGTCATCGTCACCACGTCTTCCCCTCCCACTCCCTCATCGTGCGAGTATGATGGGCGAAGCCAGTTTGCTTGTCCGTCGGACCGTCACGGTAGGGTACCGTCCTCAATTGGATAGATTCGCCTTCCTTACTTGTATGAGTACAGTACTGTCCATACAATAGTCTATCCTGGCCTCCCCTGCACACATCCCGTCGCGCGTACCATGGTCAGGCTCAAACCAACTCTACAAGTAATGCCGCGCTCGAGATACGGTATGGTTCCAGAAGCCGGGGAAGGGGAGTGCATAAGATCCCCACCTCATTCTTTTAATTGGCGGAGGGCGGTCGACCCGGGCCACTAAGACGGACCAGCGCTAGGGTACCGGTATTTCGAAGATCAGGACCGCGATGTACTGTACGGTACAGTATTCGTACAATAATCGTACTCGTACCTATCGATTATTTGCACTCAAGCCACTCCACGACCATGTGGCTACTCGAGTGCAGTACTGCACTCGTACAATACCGGTACACGACTTCCCCCTTATCGCTAATGGAACCATACCTGCTCGAGTACCCGTACTGGTACCGCCATGTAACTCCCTCAGTAACCACCATCGGAGTGCCCACCGAGAGCCTAATAACTTCCAAACAAAGCCGGGTGACGGCTTGCCCTCGTTTCCTACCGGACCACAGGGCCCCTGACATCCAAGACCTGCAATGCCATGGTAGCCAACTTAATCTAAAATTTCTAAATCGGAAATAGCGTTCCCTTGAGTTGCAAGAACTCGTGCGGGTGAAGGTATCCCGTCAGGTTGAGATACTCCCTCCCTCCCCGTTTAAAATGCTGGACACCAGCCTATTTCAGTAACCATGAGTAAATCCACCCGTGCGCGCGAATTCTTGTTCCCGTACAGTACTGTAGTTCGTTGCCATGCCGGGCAGAGCCGATTCTGCAGCATCCCGAGCACCGCCTCCTGTTGAGAACGCCCAAGTTTTTCCTATCACCATCACCGGTACCCAATTGAGTAAGGCCTGGTTCAATATCCACCACTTCATACACCGAATGTCTCACTGGCCGGCAGGTCAACTATGATCAAATACTAAATACCCGGTACAGCACCTGAAACAGCTGTTGTTACACAACCACCAACTCAGAGAACAGAGCCTTGTCTCATCCTCAGATACTTGTACGACTGCCTGCGCGAGCACTGTGCGAGCACCGTACTCGCACCGGTACTACAGTGAAACCTCCGTTATCTCCAGGACGCGGGGAGACTGGACTCCCTGGAAGTAGAGGGGGGATGGAAAATAGAGGAAAGGCTTGGCAGAATAGAGGGCAGTGCTGAGAGAAAAATGAGTGATAGTTCATGAAACCATATAGGGTTTAACTCCATATGTTTACACTTCAGAAAAATAATACACCCCTCCCATCTGATGACCCTTCATTCCAAAAACACACATATCCATTCAACTCACTATCTAGTTATCTGGCAATTTGTCTACAGCTTTGCCTGGAAGGTGACATGAAAAAGAATTTTATGCACATGAAACCTGGAATTTAGGAGCCATTTACCACCTGGAAAGAGGAACTAATAGAATCCTAGAACTTAGAGGAGGAAAGCCCATAGAACAAAACCTGTCCCCAACAAATGATAGAAATACCGGAGACCTGGAAACATCGGAGGGTGGAGTTATCGGAGGTTTCACTGTAGTCAGTGCTCGTCCAATGAATGGTACTTGTTCTAGAACAAGTACCAGAACTTTAACCGGACCAGTACTCGAGTACATTTAACGGTTTTCCTTGCTGTGATTACTTAAATAATAAAATTACGTGTAGAACCGATCCACCGTCTATCTTTTTTGACCCCAACATCACAGAGGAAGTCAGATCGTGGTCAGAGTTGGGATTCTAAGATGCCGCAAATCTTCGCTGCGCAGCCTACACTACAACAAGGTGATTCCGGGGATCGATTTCAAACCCATCAGTAGAATCGAGGGAAGATTGGGGTCATTATTATAGTATATTACCCGAACCATTATTTTCCCAACATCGTCCGTCGCTTTTCTGCACCAACTCCTCCCTCTCTCTCTCTCTCTGTTTTCCCGTCGCCACCGCAGGGGTTTAGGCTGGTTTCCCCCGGTGGGGAGGTAAACCAGGGCTAACTTATGACAGGAGAGGGAAGGCGGGTTGCGGTAAATTGCCCAGCGGAGGAAAGGGAAAAAGAAAAAAGGAAGAGTTTTTTCTTTTCTTTTTTTGCGAAATTCCTGCACTGACGACACCTCGGAAATCGATACTAGAGGCTTCGTAAAGGGATCCCTAGAAAAATCGCGAGCGGGGGGTCACCCTTAAGAGTATTTCTCAAATTCTAATACTTCACTTACCAATGTCCTCATCTTGTATACGGAATCGGGTGATTATAAAGGGGCTTTTGAAGCTGGTAGAGGTGATACCAAGATAGAATTACACCATCATGACGTTGTAATGTTGCAATACTCATATTGCCGAATTGGAGATACTTTTTTTCCTAGTAGGTCATCGGAAAAAAAAATTGAATGAGGAGTGACTTCAATCTAGCTACTCGGGTAAGTAACCAAGCAACTTCATATCGAGTCCTGGCCTAAATAGCTATTTTCATACCTTTATTAGAACAACGTCTAAGAGCTAGCATTCTTACTATTGTGCTAATTGCCGGCTCCAAATACACATTGAAAATAGGAGTATTTCTATATTATGCCAGAATGTTGATATTTCCACATGCCTCGGGGGTACTTGTACGATTGTCCCAAGGAAGAAATTTTTATAACGGTGACATTGATGATCCTGTTTGCCGGTTGCATGATTTTTTACCCGAAATAATTTTTCTCAGCTGGGAAAAAAAAACGAAGCAACTTCGTTCCAATCCTACTTCTGCTTATGCACTATTTGGATTCCATCCCTACAATGCTTCTGCTTCTCAACCACTTTCGTATATTAAGTTAGGGAGTGCTCTGAAGTTATTTCCCAGCTTGGTCATAAGGGGTTTATTCTGATTATACAACAATTAGAATAAGCATGTTGACTGGAGTTAATCTCTTTAGTCAAACCCAGCTGATATAATACTAATTTCGGGTAGTTGTTTATCGTAAACCGGGGGAAGCGGGGGTCTTTTTGCTCCGAAGGTCACGATATATCCTGACTTGGGTGACACATCCAAGCCATAATCTCCACCACGGCATCCATGCCATTCCAGCAAGCGAGACTCGTGGAAGAAAAAGTGCCGGAAAAAAAAAAAGATAAGGTAGAAATGGAGAATTCCAGGACAAAGGGGTTTTCGTCTTTCCGCCCTTTTTTGCTCCCCCACGTTTTTCCGCTGTGATACCGGTAGTGATATTAAAGGGTTTCGGCGGATAAAACTTATTAATGCTGTGCCAAACTTCCCCTTTTGCGGTTGCGGGAATTTCCCGAGTATCAGCCATCGCTTAAATCTAGCCTCTGGTAGCTCCCCTATGACATTCATCCTCTCTATTCTGAGTGTATATCATGAATGCACTCGAGTACATGTGCATTTCCGGCATCGTATCGGTCCTCGTAACATTGAAACTACTCGAGCATAGTGGCCACACTGCTGTACTGGTGTCTCCGATCCAAGAGTTCGCTCCTCTTTTGTAATTCTGTACGAGTACTTGTGCCAGTACTTGGAGCTTCCACGGACCGATACGAGTAAACAAAATGGCGTTTAAGCCATTTCAGAGGCGATATTTGTACTACCAGTGAGACAAAATACGGTGCGCTATGGAGTGAGTGGGAACATACATACCCAAAGTGCTCTCCGCAGCAAGAACATGTTGAGTGTTTCTTTCGTGCGGATCTCCAAACTTGCTGCAGGTACTGTACAAGCCTGTGGAGGGGAAGACGGGTTTAATGTTTGATGGGATTATTTTGTCCTGCAAACAAATCTTATTCCGAGGAAAGTTAGCTACGATCATTATTATGACTCTCGCAGTGGCCTCTAGCACGGCAGTGGCAAAGTACTGGCACAATCCCTCGTGCTGTACTCGAGATACGGGTAGACTACCGGTAAGTTAAGAGAGCAGCTTCAACCTACGAGTACAGGCATACTTTTTATGGCCCCCGTGGGGGCTATTCCAAAAGAGGTCCCAACTATTTGCTCAGAGACACGAGTATCATACCGGTACTCGAGTATTGGTACGGAAGAGGCCAGGGTTTAAAAGACTTGGCTTCCGTCATGGTGCAGTACTGTTTATCACGGTATTTGAATATATACCCCTGTTTTCCACGACAATAAAGGCCACCGATATACCTCTCCAGCTTCATAAGTACTCGAGTACTTGTACAGGACACCGGCACTCGAGTGCGGACTCTTTGATGCCAAGGACCGCCAAAAACGCACATCCTTGGCGACGGGTGTCCTGAAAATACCTTTCAAATAGGCCAGCCCCACGGCGGCTTGTACAAGTACGAGTACAGTATCCGACCGATTCAACACCACCACCCCTCCTGAATCCGGTAAGGATCCACACCACAAGTGCTCGAGTACGAGTACTAGACGGCGACGTGCGAGGACCCCGTTCCGCCACTGTCCATATCATTATGGGCGCTGTGAGCTCCTTAATTAACCACAACTGTGATTTCGCATAGGGCTACTTCTAGAAAGGTCGTTCGCTCGTTCATCCGATTGCACTGCCTGTGCTAGGACTGTACTGTACAGCACCGTATCCCCCATTCGTTCGGCCATCCTGCCCGCGACACTACCAACGTCTACTGTCGCCCGACCCAACAACTCCCAGGAGCAAGCGTCGCAGCTCCATTGTCTTCCCGCGAAACATTCTCCGGGCCGGCGGGGAGGGGGGTGGGGGACGTGGATAGATGTCTCGATTCTATCCACCGATTCTAGGGTAAGGAACGTTCACTCCGCCCAACATCGTTTCCGCCGTACTCGTACCGTAACTTGTGCTCTTAAGGATGCGCTATGAAAACTCTGCAAACTATTACACCGCACTACTCGAGTACACTCGTAGGTATCAAGGTCCCGGCAGAGCGTCGTGCTCCTACTCGAGACTAATAAATCTCCTGACGGTATCTTAGCGCGGGCTGCCCCGTTTCTGAATCTCCCCGGGGAAGCTAGGCTTCGCTTAAGCTTGGCTAAGGGGTAGTTTCAGTCGTTTTTTATTTATTTTCGGAATAAGATAAGTTTGCTGGGATACTGCTGCTGGAAGCTACGGTACGCAGGTCATAAAGCGAGGATTGGTTTCGGAAGACTGGAGTTGCGCAAGATTGTATCGGAAGCGCGGTACACTGCTGTATGGTGCCGTTCACAAGGGTCCCGTACCGGCCACGCCCTCGGTACGATTAAGAATACGGTTATGAGCGACCGGGTGTGAACGAGAGCGAGATAAGGAGATGCTTCTTACTTTTCGGAATTGGGCAATGGCGATCAAGCTACCCGTCCTTCATTCACTTCACAGCGGTGGCCGTGAAGGACTGCCGGGATGTGACGCTACCTCGGGGGTTGGGAGACTTTCCGAAGAGTATATTGCCGGTGCAGAGTGCTCGAGCGCGGGGAGTCGAAGATGCAGGATTCCATTTTTAGAGATGCGTACAGACTAGTAAAAAAAATATTTAAGCCAGCAATCCGTCCTAATTTACTTGTTTCTACTGGGAAATAGTTGTAGAGAGAATAAAATTGATTAATCACACACTTCTACGTAATAGCGATTTGAGATATTAAACGTTAACGGAAATCTGGGGAGTAGTTATAAAGTTCAAAGCTATACCGGAGGCTGACATCGCTTACTACTGCAGTTTTTGAATACGGAGTCTAAATATGTGGAGTATAAATAGCAGCATGTATTAAAAATGCCAGTCAACTTATTTTGGCAAGGAGAAAAATTGGGAACCTTTACTACGGTATGTCATGAGAAAAACCATAGATAATATCCAAGTCGAGAGATAGTGTAGTGTCTGCAGTAGAAGGCTAGAAAGGTGTGTGGCATGCCAGACAACAAGGACAATTCCGTAGCTATCAGGTAATATCTGCCAGTAGTACCTTGTAAAAAAAGTCAGGTTCTCTCTATTATAGAGTAGGCCTACAGTAAATTGCCTTTGGAGTAAGAAAGTCAGAAAGGGTCTTTTGAAGGATAAGCATCAAAGACAAGATATCTTGCAATGCTGGCAACTTTATTTTCTTTCACCTATTGAGTACATAAAACTGAAATCGGTCACCGGTGTATAAGGTTTAAAGGAGTCGTATGTTCGAGAAAGGTATATAATAAGGAGTAAGAGTACTCGAGTAGTTACAGGACTTTCTTTTTTTTTTAATTGAACTTATCGTATATGATAAGTGTGTATTTTAGTTAAATGAAAGGCAACACTCTGAGTACGTAGAACGTTGTAGGATGTTACCTTACGGAGAAAGAAGGAGACTAGATTGGGAATAATGGTTTCTAGTTTTATTCGCTCTATCTACCCGCTCTGACTACTAGGACAAGTTACAAACATCTATTTGATATTTCCTAACATTATCTTATAAACTGCGGTTAAGTTAATTGAGTGTGACGGAATATAGAGAAGATAATGGGCTGAATAATATCTCAAGTAGTTCAAATCTTTGACTTAGGTTATCCTCACTGTCAAGCCTTATTTCAATTGAACGGTTCTAAAATACATGCCTTTCTTCCTGCCATTACACTGCAAGCTTACATTACCGGTATACGAACCTAAACCCTCGAGATGAAGTGCTGATTATGAAAAATACTTGGTTTGCCCATCATATTGGAAACCACTATTTCGATATACAATTTTACCGAACCTCCCGCATATTCCTGAGGCACATCGTAGGGAGCCAAAGTGTTTGTAAAGTTTTACACGAGCAAGGACTTCGGTATCATAAACTGGGGTTACGGTGTAGTAATCACGAGGGAACTGTAAGCAGGAGACATCTGAATGATGCCGTGCTCCGGGTTTACACCGCACTCAGGAAGACTTTATGGCACCGCGCCCAAGTGGCGTTTGTGGTCGGGCTTCGGAACGCAATTGCCGAATTATCATACTTCTACGATACGTGACCTTCCGGATGGTGCCCTCTGGTAGGATGTGGCGAGTGTGGGACTATGCCCATTCAATGGGATCTATAAGTATTGGTGGGGATGTACGAACTCTGCAAAAGGGGGTGAGCGATTTGCCGGATTGTGTATGGGGTATTCGCGCGATCGATCTCTGGGCGGAGGGTATGATATCTATCCCAGGCGGTGGCGGCGAACGTTGTTTTCCTAAGCCGCTTCCTCATGTTATTCTCCAGTGCCATGTATCGTTCTGGCCCACGTGCGGGTGGGGGGCTATGTGCAGTCTCACTTGCTTCCGCAGCGTACTTGAGTGATATCGAGGCGAATATGTTTCGACATAGATGGTTGAATGCTGATTCAAAATTTCTGGATGAATTCTCACTCGAAATTTCGGCTGATTCGTGGCGCTCATCACTATAATCCGGAAGAAGTGATATATTTATAATACAAACGCCTCAAGTAAGCTGTAATCTAGCCTGAAAAGGACATGCATGTTCCTATGACCAGGACTGGGTCCTGCAAAACATTTGGACAAAGCATGAAAAGGGAGTGGTAGCAAAAAATTACAGCATCGATTTTGGAAAATTTTTGAAAGCCTGTCGAATGGCGAGGTCGCCAAGGATCTCTTCGGACCCTCCCAGGACGGCATCAAACTTATAGGTCCGGTGGAAATTCTCGATGACCCTTCCCATCCCAGACTTGGTGATGCCCCTTCCGCCAAACACCTGCACCGACTCATCCGCAATCTCGTGCGCGGCGCGGGTGATAAAGTTCTTCAGCAGGGCGATTGGCCCGGCGAGAGACTTTGCCTGCTGCTGGTCGGTCATGTTGCACATCTGGTGGGTGATGGCCTCGAGCCAGGACTGTCCGGACTCCACCAGTGAGATCATCTTGGCGAGTTTCCCGCGGATAACTGGTTGGTCTACGAGGCGTTTCCCAAACACTCTGCGCTGGTTCGCCCACTTGAGGCATTCCTCCACCACCACGCGGGAGGCGCGGATGGATGCGCAGGCCATTACCCAGCGCTCATGGTTGAAGTTTGACATGATTACCGGGAAGCCTTGGTGCTCCTTTCCTAGGAGGTTTTCAACGGGGACTTGGACGTTGTCGAAGGTGATGAATGCAGTTCCGGCGGTGGACGAGTAGGATGTTTTGATCTGTTCGGTTTCAACGCCTTCCCCGCGCTCGATCAGGAGCATGCTATATCCCTTCTCTGTCTTGACAGCCGTGGTGAAGTAATCTGCCCAGTTACCGTTGGTAATCCACTTCTTTGTCCCGTTCACAACGTAGTGTGTTCCGTCAGCGCTCTTCACCGCGGTGGTGCGAATCGCAGCGACGTCACTGCCGGCAAAGGCCTCGCTGACGGCGAGGCAGATGGACTTTTCGCCAGAGAAGCACTCGCGCATCACGCGGTCGCGGAGAGCTGTGTTGCGGGAAAAGTTGAGGACCGGAGGGAGACCGATGACCATACCGCCTAGGAAGCCGTCGTTGCACGCACGCCCATGCGTCCGCACGAGTTCCTGGTTGAGGACGAGTTCATGGAAGTAGTTGAATTTCTTGGGCTCGATTCCCCCGATCAGGTTGTACCCTTCCAAATGTCTGCCCGGGCCGAGACGCATGGCGTTGATACCGTTGTCACTGTTATCGTTAGGATTGCGCGGACACCACGTCCTCGAGGGGAGAAAGGAACATACGCCATCCGCTTGATAATCTCAGCGCTCGGCCTCTCTCCAGCCTCTTCAATCCTCAGAGCCTCCGGCCGGACATACTCGTCAACGAAAACCCGAACCTCCTTCTGCAGCCTCCGATGGCTCTCGTCGTAATAAGGGCTCTTGAACTCAGGGCTCAACCACATGGGCTCGGTATAAGGTATCGGGCACAAATCTCCCGCCTTTGGCTCGATAACCTGCGGTGTCTCGCCCTGGATCGTGCCGATCGCCATGTTGGCGTACTTTGTCAGGATTTCATGTCGGTGCATGGAGTAGAACTCTGATGTTGCGTCCTGACCCGCGACTTGCAAGAGAACGTGTACGCCTCCGGGGTGGGCATCAGCAAAGTCGGTCAGGTCATATACCTTTGAGTCGATAATAACGTGTAGTGAATCGGCATTATTGTTCTTGGAGACTTGCTCGAGGGTGAAAGTTTGTGTGGCCATGTTCGCTTGCTACCGTAGGACAAGGTTCCGTTTGTCTAGCTTAGGTGAATAGGGGGGGGGGGGCAGTTCTGACAGGAGTGAGTGAATGAGGGACCAAACGAACTAGTGACCGAGATATACCCCAACTTATGAACCCCGAACAAACACCTCTGTCACATGTTACCGTCGCTGACCATCCATCCGTTCATTCTGCCTGCCGGGCAAGCTAACAAGGGTCATCGCCAGCCAATCATGGTCCGCCCATTGTGAATTTAGATCCACTTTGGGGGTGGCCCCGCGGCTGGGCTAAATCTAGTCGGCCTCCGGTGTGATTTACCCGAGGCCCAAAAGAGCCGCATAGTATAGTGGGTGGCACGTGCCTGGGTTTAGGTTTGAGTTGACCTAATTGATTGGTGGGTTTAGTGAATTATTAAAGCACTGGTATCGGTATTTTGGAGGAGAATGTTAGACCGTCAGAGGTATGATACATAGTAGTTGTAGGTACTCATAGGGTTTGGGGTTCCTGTCATGTCTTGTCACTACTCGAGTATGGTGCGAATCACCTGAAGGGGCCCAGCGGTGTTGTAAAATGTATGATAAGGCCTTATATAACCTAGGTTAACTTAGGCTTGTCCTCCAGCCTCTTCTACAATATATTTCTTGACCATAAATATCAAGCTTGTCATTCTGGAATAGCAGGTCTGATATATTATTTCAGTTTTCTTATTTTATTTTAATTTTAATTTTTCATATCTACTAGTAATATTTTCTTCATACTTGTTCTTTTTCTTCTCTCTTTTTATTCAGGCCCGGATAGTATTTGGCAGGCCACTATTTTGAAAATATTGTTCAAATGTGTACGGTACTGCACTATCTTAATAACTTTATACGAAAATACGACACAGTAGAAGGAGTATACTGCGGGCACGCTAAGCGAGGAGGAGTTTTGTATGAAGGTAGATTGGTAGTAGTTCTTGTCCTTAATTCTCTTAAGCGAGATGGGTGGTAACCCCTATTTATACAGGTGCACATCCTTCGCGTAACTAAGAGGAAATGTAAAGGAAAACATAAGTGTCGACGTGTTTGACCATAACATAAGTAGGAAAAACATAAGTGCGAAGGTGTTTGACCCTAAAGAACTGCCAAGGAAATCCCATAAAACATGCGTAAATCTAAGATGGTGTGAACGGATAATTAGAACATAATTGTAAATCAAATGACCGTGCATGATGATGCATAAAATGTAAGAAATAAACCCGAACACCAGATAAGAAAAGTACGCCATAATCCCCTAATCGTACCATGAAATATCAATGAAAATACGTAATACATACTCCGCTGTAGTAATGTCCGTGATCTAGAAATAATACTAAGTAGAGGAATATACGATATTATCAAGGAGAATATACATATGAAATGAATTAGAAAATTCAACAAATATAACCTTTTTCTCAAATCCTAATTCTTGCTAAAACTGAAATCTGTCTACTTAAAAAGTATTACAAATGCATACCTAGATAGCATCCACCCTTTCAAGCATTATAATAAAAAAAAGAAAATCTTTGAGATAGCTTATAAGTTAAACTATAGCTAAACAAGTACAATATTAAAATGTTTTATTCGAAAAGAAAATACTATAACAGAAGAAAAGATACAATATTAAATATTGCTTCCAAACAGAGTTCAAGTTCAGGGAAGCCATACTTTGCTATTGTACATAATAGTCTTTTATTGTAATGGAAGCTCCCTCAGATAGATGGTTCCTAAGGATACGACCACGCCAAACTTCGGGCCTCTCTAACGCAGCTCATGTAAAGTGTAAAGAATAAAAGTAAAGGGTAAAACTTAATATTATTAAGCTCAGGCTTATCTCAATTAAAGTCTTATAAGAGGATGTTGATTATGTCGGGGTAGGAGCGTGAGAGTTCTCATATAATCTTTAAGTAGTCAGACTTATACCAAAAACTCCCCCATCAGGTTACCCTGACCAAACACGAGCAGACCCTTCTCCATAAGGGTTTCCAGCACCACTACTGTGTCTCCAAAGGGCCTAAGGTGTCAGCCCACTCTATCAGAAATCGCCTATATGCACATCAGTTGCTGCAAGGTGTTTACCAATACACCTGCTGGAGTGAAAACCTTTGTGCATCGGTGCCTCATCAGTAGCTAACTGTCGAGCCGCTTAGGAAAACTAACTAAATGACTCTCTTCCCATATGCTATGACCTATGCAAGCACTTGTAGAAATCAGGTATCTTCCAGTTAAGTTCTATCTATCTTGACTACAAACTTAGAAGGACTACAATGCTCCCGCGGAGAGCAGTGGTGGCGGCGGGACCCGTGGGTGCTACTGTCACGGCCACCCGGTTATGGAGACGGAATATGCATGGGCTCTTGGTTGCATATATGGGATGTGGTTTCTTTGGTTGCATAGTGGAATTTCCTTTGTATGGGTGAATAGGACGCGTTACCGCGCGACGGAAGATAGCGGAACCAGACAGAGGAATCGTGGCTGCGCGCGATGCCAAGGACTTTCTTTTGTAATGGTAATCAGGGAGGATTTCCTTAGTATATAAAGGGGTGTGTCCCTTTATATTTTTCTTTCTTTAGGCAATCTGGTAATCTCCTTTGGACACCCTTTCTTACGTTCCAAGGATCCACCTAAACTTCACGTCGCCCCTGACTTTATCTCACGATAACTTCAGGCCTTGTTCGCGAAGGAATCTTTACCTTCGCTTACATTTATTAACCTCGTAAGGCTTTGTCCTTACGTTTGTTGCCTTTAGGTTCTTCGTTTCTGTCGTTCGTTCGCTTCGGTCGGTCGCTTCGATGTCTAAGCGAGGTTCTTCCCTTTCGGCGGGCAAGGTCGCAGCGGCCTTGTCCTCCCTCTCGGCGTCGGTTGATGAGGCTTCTCTTCTTCGGAAGGAGGTTTCGCGCCTTCGCCACCACGTCTCGGTACTGTCTCGTCGACTCCACTTGTCGGAGCGGGAGCGTGCGGCCTTGGTTGCGGCTAGGCGTTCGCCCTCCCCTCCGTTCGGCGGGCCAGAGGACATGACGCCGCCTCCCAGCGGGGGGGTGGCTGAGGAAGAGGAGGTGGCTACGGTGCGGCTGCCCACGGTGGCGTCCTTCCCTTCGGGGATGCAGGCGCCTGGGCCATTCGTGGCTGAGCCCGGGGTGGTGGCTGGCCCTGCCAGTGTGGCGTCGGAGGGGCCTGGTGTCCCTTACTTCGCGGATTTGTTCGTCGGTTCTTCCCCCCCCCTGGCCGGACTGGAGCTGCTTATGTCCCCCGTCGATGAAGGATCAATTGATGGGTCTGTCTCGTCGGACGGCTCGGTGGTTACGGTATTAGTGGATGTTGCTGTGGGTCCGGACCTCCCCCCTGGGCACTTTCCTCGTGGGCACTGGCCTAATGGAGAGAACCCGTATGTGGCGGGGCGGTACAAGACTCGGTTCCCGTCGGTGGCGCCTGTAGGGCGTCGGGCTTTGAGCTCACCTCCCAGTATGAGCAAGGGAGTTAGCATGTCTGACTTTCTCGGGTTGAGGTTGCCGGGGCAGCAGGCTAGGAAGCGGGCACTGGTGGAGGAGGTGGGAGTGCAGGGTGGGGTTAGGCATGTTGCTGGCGGGGAGGCTAGTTCCTCTGGT